TGCGCGCGCGCTGATGACCTTCAAGCCTCGCATCCACACGGCTTGCTTGGTGACAGGATCCAGCATATGTGCGACATGCATGCGATCGGGACGGCTATCCAGGGGCGCGTTGCTTTGTGGGCTGCTGATTCATGCTCGCTTTCCAAAACAGTTGGCCAACGACCCGGTTCCATGCAGAAACGGCTCCACAAATTCTGTGGTCTGATTTTTTGGCTGCATTTCGTGCATGCACGCGCGGAGTCACCGGGGGAAGACAGCTACACGGGCAGCGGTCTGCCGTGCGCTCTTGCTGGTCTACCTGTGTGTCGATCCAAGGTCGCACACATAATCTCTCGCCGCTTGCATGGTGCCAGTTACTTTGAAATTTCAAAGTCCCTGTGATGCGAGCGAAGGGATCACCCTTCGTCACACCGCGTCACTCAGCAAGTCGCAGCCCCGATTGCTGGCGCGCGCACGAAACGCGCCGTATGGGCGGGGCGACCGTCGCAGATCGTGGAGCGCGCCGCGCCGATCCCGTCCGTGCGTGGCGTCCGCCGAGCCGGCCCCCCGCACGCGCGCCGCGGCCCAGAGATCCCGGGCGCGATTTGGGCGAGATTCGGGCCGCCGCGGGCCGCCCGGCGCCCGTCCGTATTTTTAGGGGCGTGCGTTTGCATTCTGTCGCCGCGCCGAATTTTCGTGCCGAATTACAGGCGCCGCGGGGCCGTTTCGGCTATGCCCTGCAGCCATGAGCCCTAAGCGGGCACTGCGCCGTAACTACTAGAACCGTAACCAGAAGCTCTCACGTAGCCCTCGCGCCCGGAGGGCGCGGGGCGGGCCCACAGTGTGAGCTCCAATCCCGGTGCGGTGCCGTGTGGCGCAGGGGTTCCTGCCCGCTAGGTCGCGGGCCGGGTCGCTGGGGGCCGGGCGTCTGCCCGCTAGGCGCGGGCAATGGTTTTGAGGGGAGCGCAGGTGATGGGTGGGGAAGGGAGGGAGGGCAGGAGAGGGCCGGCCGTGGGAGGCTAGGGGGGCGGGGGCGCGCGCAGGGTGCGTGCGCCGTCGGCCGGGCTTGGAGATCACTAGGTCTCGCGTAGAAGAGAGGGTGGGGGGTGGGGAGGCGAGTCTGCAAAGGAGAGGCCTGCCCATTAAGAAGGAAAGTCCTCCTAGAGAAGAAGGGTGGGGGGTGGGGGATGCGGGTCTGCACAGCAAGTCCCAGGTGGCAGAGCGCAATGAGCGACGCAGCGGCGCGCAGCGCGGCGGCTGCGCGAGCACACCACCCCCCTGCGCTGGCGTCTCAGCGACCCGAGGTAGAGAGCACTGAGAGTCGCCTGTTTATAAAGACCGCGAAGCCCGCATCGCGCGCGCTGAGTCCCACGCAGCCCCCTCGACCAACATGCGCGGTCTGCGTTCGACGGGTGAGAGGCGTCCGTAGGCTTTGTAAAGTAGATAATATATATAGGCAACGATGTCTGAACATGCAGGGGCCCATAGAAAGTCGTGTACGATGATTCGCGATAAAAAGGTGCTGTCGCCCCGCGGGGAGTGTGTGGCCGCTGACGGAGCGCGGAAGGAGATCTCCGCGGTCTCAGAAATTCTGTAAACTCGTAGCGATCCCAAAGCACCCGGAGAGGGCCTCTGCCGCGGCTGGCGGCGCGCGCGCGCGGCGCGGCCGCAACGCCCTCCCGGGCCGGCAGGGGCTCTTCCGGGCTCCTTGCACGGAGTTTTAGAAAGCAGAGACACAGCTGTATTTCTGGAGGTGCTGCACAGGCGGTTTACCCCGGGGACGGCTAAGCCGCCGGCGCGCGCGCGCGCAGAACCTCAAACGTCGAGCACGGGAGAGCACCGGGATTGGAACTAGATATTGGCGCAACACGCATCCTCAAAATTTCAGCTCAGACCACCGCGCGTGCGCACCGGTGTCTTTGCCCCCAAAGCAGCGCGTTTGCCCCATGAACGGTGCCGAGCCATCTATCATGGCAGACAGGCGCTGCAGTACAGGCTTGTGTGTTGTGAGCGGGGCGAAGCAAATGGCTGCCCCATAAGGGCGCGCCCCGCAATTACCAAAGCCCTGGCCAGCACCCAAAAATCCAGGCTGAAAGCGCCGCCGCCTCCCCTGCTGATGCACGGGTCGAGAGCGCCTGGCTTCATGCAGGCGCATGCGCCGTCAAAGCAACTACTGCGCAGCAGGCTCGACCAGACTCTGCCGCGACCAAAACAGGAAAGGTCAAGAAAACACCCTGCAAAATCATCACCATGCCGCAGCATGTAAAGAGTGGGAGAGAAGTACGCGTGGCTAATGGCTGGTCGCAAGAACCTTGTGTCAAAAGGGGGGTGGCGCCAAAACACGTGATTTTGAACCAAACAAGAACGTTGCATGGATTCACCCGCACCGATGACGGACCCGTCCCAAGTTATTCACCCCAAAGCCTCCTCTAACCGCCACGCCTGACGCGACGCACGCAGGGCGCCCTCGCGGACCGGTGCCGCGCGCGGTGCCATGCAGCTCGGTCGCAGACAGCTTGCGCACGGCTCTCTGCGGCTGCTGCGCCGATCCGGCGGTGTCGCCCCGATGTGATTGTGTTTGGCCTCACGCGTTGTCTGCGGCCTTCTCTGCATCGATGAGGTCAACCGGGAACACGTCCCGGGGGTCAGCATACAGCAGCTGGTGCGGGCGGGGGGAGGAGGAAAGGCGGGGGTGAGGGTGGATTCGAAGCGAGAAGCACGGGGTGAAAGGAGTATTGTATACAGCGCGCCGCCCCCACCGCTTTGGCTCCACCCGTGGAACGAAGGCAGGTTGCCTGCAACATACACTGCGGCGTATTTGTACGAGCTGCGCAAGCAGGCGCACACAACCACGCAGGATCCCCTCGCGTCAATCAGCGGGACACCCGGGGCAGCACCGCTCCCGTACCCTTCCCTAACAATCAATGTCACCTTACTAGCATGCACAGGCACAGATACACTTCCTGGCTCTCTCCCTCTCTCCGACCTCCACTCCCTCCCTCCCTCCTCTGTCTCGTGCTCCCCCCTTCCCTCTCTCACATGCACACATGACACACACACACGCACACACACACACACACACACACACACACTCTCACATACACACACACACAACCCCACAAACCCACGGCCCCGAAGCCGGCGCACCTGCTCCTTCCCCGCGAGGTACTTGTTGATCATGCGCGTGGTGGAGTAGTTGAAGCCGTCACTGCCGGCAATGAAGCGGTTGTTGTTGCGCGCCTCGTTGATCTTGGTGCGCACCTTGGACGCCAGCACCTGGGGGGGTGGAGGGGCGAGTTTGTGAGCGGGGGCCATTGATAGCCGGCCTCATGGTGGTTGGGCTAGCAGTCGAGTGTGAGAACTTGCAAAATTGAGGGAAGGGACAATGGTTTGGAATGGAATATGCAGGCGATGCGTGCAGTAATGGCCGCGAATGTCAACGGGTGCTGGAGCGGGTGCGGCCATGGCCACAGCAAAACCCGCCCGCCCTCATAGCAAAACAACGGCGTCCCTACAAATCCGCACGACGCCACGCTCACTACCCGCACCACCACAATGCGTCATGCACCCACAAAATGCGTGCGTGCGCCTGCCTGTTAGCTCAATGCGGCGCACGCACTCTATGTGCTCACGCGTGCACGCCCTGACAGTCTCACGCAGACACGCTCACATGTACGCACACCCGCGCGCGCGCACACACACACACACACACACACGCGCGCGCGCGCGCGCACATGCGCCCGCACACACGCACACGCCTGCCCTTCCCCACCTTGCCGAGCTCCACCCCCCACTGGTCAAAGCTGTTGATGTTCCACACAAAGCCCTGGACCGCCACCTGGTGCTCGTACAGCGACAGGAGCTGGCCCACCTGCCAGCAAGTCAACGTGCACGCACATTCAAGGGTGGAACAGCAAGGTGTTGAGCGCGCCGTTGTGATGCTTGCTCTAAGAAAACAGGGGCACTGGGGGGTTTCAACATCGGGTTTGTATACGATACGATGCAACCGGTTGGTCGCGCATGCGGAAGCCTCACTTGCAGAGAACACGGAAGCGGCAAGCAGGCAAAGTGTGAAGGGGGTCGCCGCACCGTGTACGCGTTGAGCTCGGGCAGCAGGAGGCTCAGGCTGGGGCGGTTGCCGGTGAACACCCTGCATGAAGGGGGTGCGCGGAGGCGGCCAGGCCGGACGTCAAGTTTGTTCTTTCACGTTGCTCTTGCCGCCCCTCCCAAAACCTGCCAGCGCTGAGAAAAGCAGCAGGCGTGCCGCGCCGCGCCGTCCATTGCTGCCGGACGGGCCTTCAAACGCATGGCATAAGGCCCCCGGTGGCCTGACACAGCCTGAGAGGCAAGACCATCCCAGCCTGCCGATGCGCTCACCCCGGGCCCACCCAACACAGCGCCTGCGCATGCCTGCGCGCCCTCCAAAGCCACCACACCTGTGTGGCACGAGGAAGTCCGGGACGTTCTGGCTGCGCAGCTCTGTGCCGCTCTTGCCGTAGGCCAGGGCGTCGGCCTGGGCGAAGAAGTTGCACATCAGCTCGTCGTGGTTCGAAACGATCTCGTTCTGAGATACCGGTAGTTGGCAGGAGTTGGAGGTCGGTGTGATTGTAAGGACTGGGTGGTTTGGTTGCCGTGAGGAAGGGGTACTTTGACGCGGACACAACCCCACTCTTACAAGCGTGCATGTCATATGCATAAACTCGCGCAGACACGTGCACAAACCAATTGCTCCTGCAAACCCATGCACATGCCCATGCACACGCGCACAAGCGCGCGCACACACACACATATACACACACACGCGCGCACACATGCATACATAACGCCATCACCTCAAGCGCACAGACACGCATGCGCACATGCGCCCAATCTACACACGCGTCGCACTCGGACACTCACGCACAGACACACACCCTATCTTACGCGCACCCACCTTGAGGTACACCGACTGCTGGCTGCGCACGATGCCGATGAAGTCGCAGGGAATGATGCGGCCCTAGGCGTGGTGTTTTGGTTAGGAGGGGGGGCAGCAGGATGGCACGAGAGAGCACAGCTGGACACGGTGCGGCGGGGCTGCAGGCGGGGAGCAACAGGTTGCGGGAAGGGCAGGGTGCAGGCCGGGTGCATGCCGCGATGGCTGCGCTGCTTGCAGCTCAAGGCCTAGGCGCACGCACAGGCACCCAGCAACATGACAGGGGCTGATCTCGGGCACCTTGGCCCTGGGCGCCCCTCACCTGGTGGATCAGCTGGTAGAAGGAGTGCTGCCCGTTGGTGCCCGGCTCACCAAAGTCAATCTCCCCGGCCTAACATGTGTAATGTGCGGTCAGGTGTGCATGCACTTGCAGGCATTAGTGTGTGTGCATGTGTTTGTGTGTGTATGTAGTGTGTGGGAGGGGTGTCAGCAATCATGTGCCGTCATCTGATCGTCCTGCTGTCACACTTCCCAGCAGCCAGGGTTCCCAAATCTCCCCTAGATCTCGACAAGCAGCGCAGCACACACATGCGCAGGCATATGCACACATACACACCCACACCCACACTCACGCACCTCGAAGGGTAGGGGCTTGCCGTCTATGTCCACGCCCTTGCCGTTTGACTCCATTGACACCTGCTGGATGTGGGGCGCCAGCTTGGACAGCGCCTGGGGGGGTCGCAGCAGCGAGGGGTGAGGGGAGGAGGCGAGCCGGGTTTAGGCAGAGGTTCACGGTGAGTGAGGGGTGCGGCTTCGTGCCCGGACCTGACAGCTCTCGAGAAGTGTTGTGTGTCTTTCTGGCCAGCCAGGCCATCCCTGAGAATGGCCTGGCATATGTAGATAGCCTAGAGCTCAACAGCTCTGGGGGGCCGGCCCGCTGCATAATCCTCATCCGCATCTCTCCTCCACACGCAGCCTGGTGATGTACCTGCGAGCCAGGGGGCGCTGCAGCCCGCCCCCCAGAAATGGGCGCCACCAACCTGGCAGTAAGGCAGGATGGCGCGCGCGGGGTATCCTAGGAACGAGATGTTCCACACTGAGGTGAGGCCCATCATGACGGGCAGGTTGGACTCAAGGGGGGCGTTCTGCGGGGGATGGCGGCGGTGTGGCGGTTTGGAAGTGGGGCGTTGGGCAAAGGCAAGCAAGCGCAGGGGCGGGTGTGCGCAGTGGCACGTGAAGGGGTGATGTGCTTGCGCGTGCAAGGGTGGCAGCGGCTGCAAAGAGGAGGACGCTGCCTGGTGGATGTGCTGAAACGTGCGCAGCCCATCTATGGCACTAAGCGCACCTGCTGGCAGACGTCCACCCATGCAAATCAAAATGTGTTGTCACGCAAGCTGCACACAAGCCCATACGGCACACACGTCCTACACCCACACGGAGAGGAGGCAGCCTGTCGTGTTTGTACACCCGCCCGCTCACATACACACACACACACTCTCTCTCAGACACACACACACACACACACAGACCTCAACTCTCCAAACCCCCTCCCCATCACCCCTCTGGACCCCACCCACCTACCAACAAGCGCTCATGCAGGGCTCAGACGCGCACAGCGCACGACCGCGCCGCCCGCCTCCCACCACGAAGTGGCCGTCCATGGCGTTGGCGACAGCACGCACGGGATGCCCAGCACGCGCAGCACGCACAGCACACATCTCCACGAGCTGCAGCCGCGTACAGCACACATCAACGTGCGGCCACACTGCCGCAGCCCACCAGGAAGTGGTCGTCCATGGCGTTGGCGCCGTTGAGGAATTGGCCCATGATGTCCCAGCCGTACTGCAGCGTCAGGGGCAGCATACCCACCGCGCTGCACACGCTGTAGCGGCCGCCCACCTGCGGGGGACAGGGGAGGCAAGACGGGGAGGTGGGGGTGGGGGTGAGACCAAGCTGTGGTGGGAAGAGGAGAGCAGGGAAGCGCGTGATGCTGAAGAAGTAGGTAGTGACACAGCCATAATCAGGCCAGTCTGGAAAGCACGATGCTGTCTGCGGCGCCTCATCAGACACGCGGCGTCCCCGCTGCGGGGCGCGTGCTGGTGCGTGGGGGGCCGCAGCAGCAGCAGCCGCAGCGCAAGCGGACTCCCAACAGCAGCAAGCGCGACATGCAGGGGGTGAGGGGAGAACTAGGGGGCGGCTCACCCAGTCCCAGAAGCCAAAGGCGTTCTCTGGGTCGATGCCAAACTCCTTCACCAGCTTCAGGTTTGTGGACACCGCCACCATGTGCTTGGCGACCGCCTCCTTGCCTGAACACGGAGGTCAGGATTGGTGTCCAGGCCAGAAAAAGTAGGGGTTGCGCGGTCGGGTGAGGTGAGTGGACCCGCACGCGGCGGTTGGTGGGCACGCGCCATGGGTGCTTGTGGCGGCGCCAACGACGGCAGCCGCGGCGGGCTACTCGTCAAGCCGCGCCCACTTCTGTCGGCGAAACAGGCACCGAGCGCACGTTCTGCCATGGGGCGGGCCCCCGGTCCCGCCCGGCGGCGCAAGTGTGCGTGAGCGGCAGGCACGTCGGGGCCCCCACGCGCGTGTGCGCGTGCGCACCCAGCTGCGCGGTGAGCCACGCCCTGCAGGTGCGCGCGTTGAGCATGGTCTCCGCGGTGGTAAAGGTCTTTGAGATGATCACCACCATGGTCTCCTCCGGGTCCAGGCCCTGGCGATTGAGCAAAAACCGATCAATTGAGAGATTAGTTGCAGAGCTAGCTGTTGGTTGGTGCGTCGGGGCCAAGGATTGTGGTTCGGGCTACACTCCTGGATCTTCTTCTGTGAGTACGGTACTACAAACGTACTACAAACCAAGCGAAGGGGCGTGGATATGCATGATAGCTGCCTGGAGCAACATGGTAGCATGATACAGAAGCGCCAAGGGGGAGGGGGAATCGCAGGGACAGCATGGGCTTAGCCCTTGCAAACGCCAACTGCAGTGGCGGCCGCCGCCGCACAGCCCGCCAGGGTCGTGGTGCCCGGGCATGCCCGCAACGCGCGCAGGCCCAACGCCCACCCTCTGGGTCCCCAGACGCACCTGCAGTGCGCGCGCCACATCAATAGGGTCCACGTTGGCCAGGAAACGCAGCTCCCGGCCCTTGCTGAAGCTCATGGCGCGCGGCTCCGTCCTAGGGGGACGGGCAGAGGCGGAGCGCCGCCCAGGGCACAGCCACAGTAAGAGCTGCTTTTGAGACCGCGGGGGCCACCCAGGCCACGCCCGGATCTGTGGAGCCCTGTCACTCGCGAATACAACGCAATCAGCAGAGCCCACAGCCGCTGCCGCCGCCTTCCGCGCCTGCTAGCCCTCCCGCACCGCGCTGCTGCGGCAAAAGCGGGTGCAGCGGCAGGGCCCGCGAGGGTTGCGCGGGCGCGGGCGCATGCCAACCCACCCACCTGAGGGCGGTGTGCACGAAGAGGGGCCCGAGGAAGCTGCCGCCGATGCCGACAGCCACAACCTTCTTGATGGGCTTGCCCGTGGACCCCAGCCACTCGCCGCCGCGGACCTGTGGGGGGGTGTTGCAGGCGTCGCGCAGGGGGGAGGTGGGGACGAGGTGGGGTGGGCCGGCGCCCGGCAGAGCGGGCTCTTCCCCCCACACTGCCTCAGGCCCGTCGCGCTTCGTGCCTCCTTCACACTTCCTGCCTCCTTTCACTACTGACACCTGGGAGCACACGCGCCACAGCGCTTTGCTGCACCACCCGGCTGTTTCCCCACATCGGACCCTGTCGCGTCAACGCATCAACTCAGGGACTTGAGCCACCACCCAGCCGCCGGCCCACCTTGTCAGCAAAGCCCTTGATCTTGTCGAGCACCTCCCAGACATCCGGCACCACGTTCTTGCCGTCACACACAATGACCTGGTGAATTGACCGCAATGCGCAAACCGTTGAGGGCACAGCGCCACAGCGCACGGACCCACATCAGCGCAGCGGCGCGCCGGGGCTCTCAACTAGCACGCGTGGGCGTTCGAAACAGCAAAAGGGGCCTTCGCCTGGCGATTGGCTGGCTGCACGCAGCGACCGCGCTGCGCGCCGTGCGCGTGCGTAGGCAGGCGCAGGTGCTGCGCCCCGCGTGCAGCGAGGATGCCTCTCGCGCTGCCCACCTGATCGCGGCGCGCGCGCGTGGCGACGTGCAGCACGGCGCGGTCCTCTGTGCTGTTGATGTGCTCGCCGCTGAACATGGCCTGCGTCTTGGCCTTGAGGTCGGACGCCTCTGCCAGGTCCAACAGCAGCTGTTTTGAGGTGGCAGGGTTGGGGACACAGAGGGGGAGGCCGACAGGTTGTGAATGGCCCTGGTTTTGTGGTATCATTGAATGGGGGAGGGGAAACGAATATCGATGGACAAGCAATGAGGCCTAGGCGGATGGGAGCGGCGGTGGCCAGTGGGTGTGGAGCGCACTGCGGCACGGGCAGGCAAAGGCTGGGCACAGGGGGACGAGCTTCGTGCCGTCTGTGCTGATCTGCATTTGCAGGATTGGAAAGCCATGGCCGCGCATGCCATGATCCTTGACAGCAACAGATGCTTTGCTTTTGGCAACCAGCAGCCAGCCAGAGCATCTGGCGCGGAAGCATCAGGCTGCATCACAGCAGATGTCGCGCACAGTTGCAGCAATCACAACCAAGCACACGCGCCGTCGCTGCCGCCGCCTCCGTGCACAGAGATGGGCCAGCATGCACGTAAATAGCCCGTCCCTTGTAGCTTGCTGAAACTACCAGCGCCACCTCTGCTGCTGCTGTCGTCCAGTGGCGCCGGGTGGCGCTGCATTGCTGCACCTGCTGCCAATTTTGCCGCCCTCACAAAGCAAGGTCCGCCGAAAAGCGCGAGGCATTAGCATAATCAGGAACGTGTCGGACCTTGACCGTCTCCTGAGTCATCCTCTGACGCGAGAAGTCGATGTAGAGGCCGCCCTCCTCCTTGATCAGGGCCTCGCACCGCTGCTGGTCACGCAGCAGGTCCTTCAAGTGCCTGGGCATGGCATGGGGTATGGCGGGCGGGTTTAGTGAGTTCTGCCGCACTAGATGGACGGCGTCTGACCTTGCGGTAGTGCAGGGAGGGGGGAGGCGCAGGCGGGGGCGAGGCGGCTGGTTGCGCCAGCGGCT